AATCTCCTGACATGAACCCCATCGAAAACCTCTGGGCCATACTCGACCGGCAAGTCAAGAAACAACAACAACAAAAAACAACTTCGAAGAGCGATCTTCTACAAGTTTTGTAGCAAGAGTGGGCGAAAATCCCACAATCTAAAATTGACGAGATGATTCTCACGATGCCCCAAAGTATCAACGAACTCCACGAAGCGAAAGGAAGATCTACTAGATATTAATTAAATTATAAATATATCAATTCCCGTGAATATGGCTGAATTTTTTTTTTTTTCTGAAAAAGTGGTGTCTATTTACTTGTGACCACGCTGTGTATACCAACGAAGAGGCATCTCCAAAATTCTCAAACTAGGTCGATAATTCGAGAAACTCAGTCACGCATGCGCCAGCAGCGTCATATGACTTCCGCTGTTGTAACAATATGTTAAATCTGGACTTACTAAAAAATTCCACACAGCAACATTTCCTTCGTTCTAAATATATAAATATCCGTAAATTAACCCATGAGATAGACGTAGCTCAGCTATTGTTACACGAAACTTTGATTAAGATTTGTTTCTTCATGTGAATTGATGTGTTTGTGACTAATTTCTTCACTAAAACTGACGTGTTGTGAATTCAACGAAACTAATCTGCTGTAGAGGAAGTAACAAATCGAATAACAGATTAACCCTCTAGGTCATCTCTTCATCACCGAAATTTATGTTTTTGGAGAAGGAAAGGAATTCACAAATAGATAAATAACCAGTCAGTTCACTGAATAATAATGGAAAATCAATTCTGTCGGTATGTCACATGTTTTCCAAACATCTAAAGTACTTTAAATTATTAACGGCGAGGACTATACATCAAACTAAACAAACTTATATCTTTGTTATCTTGTTACATGTTAGCAATTAAGCACCTTTGGTTGTAAAGGTATAACAGTCTTCGATCTTCGGTGGTTTTTCTGATTCAGGCTTACAGACCTATAAATATATTAAACAAGGTTAATTAATTCAAATTAATTTCTATTATTAAAATCTTAATAAAACCAATTTTGAAAATAATTTAGTTTTTTAATAGTATTGTGCACAAGGCCAACAATCTTTTAACAGTCAAGTAACTGAAAGAGTTTGACTTACACAACAGGTTGCTGAACTCAAGAAAACAATGGCAGTAAAGGACTCATTAATCCGAACTTTAGCTTTTGAAATGCAAGACGAACTAAAGCGTAATCAAGAAGTGGTTAAATTAGAAGCAATGTTGGCAGCAGATCTTTCGGTAACTCATTCTTTAAATGCTGACGTCACAGATGAAATTCAACTTACGGAAGAAATTGAAGGAATACAGAGATCTGAGGTATAATACGAATAATTGTAATTGTTTTCTCTCACTATTGGAATCATGGAACTGTTAATAGCGTTTTATGTTTAAAAACATCTTGAGTTAAGAATGGAAGTTTGTAGTTAAGCACAAAGCTACACAAAGGGCTATTTGTCCTCTGCTCACCACGGGTATCGAAACCCGGTTTCTAGTGTTGTAAGTCCGCAAAGATGCCGCTGTGCCACTGGGGGGGGGGGCGATTTAAGAATGCATTAATCGAAAGAATAAATCATATTTATTTCAAATAAAAAAATATAAATAGGATTTTTTTCTCGGATTATATAATATTAAATTGTACAGACGATGTGTTGGAAAACTGTAGCACATCATGCAGTGTTAGCGAAAAAATAATTTATTACAAATAAAGAACAAAATGCTAGGAGCTTAGAAAAAGGAAATAGTTTCATTATCAGTTGATTATTATATTTATTGTAACTAACATACAATTTCCAAATTTTGTGAGGGAAAGCTAACTGTAATATAAGTTGATTATTACACATTTTACAAGTAAGGTCAATATTTAATTAAACTTATCGATATATTCGAGATTTTCTCAGAAATTATTCCGAATTTCCAAAAAGGCTTACAAGTTCCAAAATAATATAATTTCTTCATAGCTTTTAGATTATATTGGGGCATTTCTTCGTAATTAATTATAGCCAGCATTTCAATAATTTGCATTGTGCTTAAACATCCAATCTCAAATTTCCATAGAGAGTTATTCAATGGGTTCATCTCATGTGTTTTGTTTCAAAACATCTAAAAGATATATGTCATACGATGTTTTATAAAGTCGCGCGTTTTATAAAACGCAAAACACTATTTATGTAATGGGTAAATAAATATATACATAAAATAAATTTTCAGAACACTGTAAATATTTGTGTACATTTTATTAGATGCGGTTCCACTTATCATATTGTTGCGTCAGCGAGGTCACGTGACTAGTGTCACGCCACGTTTTCTAGAAATATC